GCCCCCCGCCCGCCGGGCCGTCCGGGGACGCGCCCAGCGCGCAGGTGAACTCATTCTGCTTCTGCGTGGCGTAGTAGGTGCACAGGTAGGAGATGGGCACCACGCTGAGCAGCAGGATGAGCACATGCCGAGCCAAGTACAGCTTGGCCAGGAAGTTGCTGCGGCCCCGGCGTTCTAGGTACTTCTCAAACAAGTTCTGCTCGGGGCTTTTCTCCTTCTCAGCGTTCTCGATGATTTCTCGCTTCTCCCGCTCCGTGATGCCGGGCCCCTTGGACTGGATCTGCTTCTCAATCTTGGGTGCGCGGCCCTCAGCTGCCCGGTGGTAGCAGTTGTCAATCTCCTGCAGTAGGAAGTTGAGCTCGGAGGTGAGGCGGGTAGAGGCCAGGAACTCCCAGCCCAGCGCAGGCACGTACATGATAGCAGCAAAAGCCAGCAGTGCATACGGCAGGAACTTGTGCTCAAACAGCGATGGCCACAGGCTGGCGTCCACACCGGGCAACGCATCCCGCAGCTCCGTCCAGCAGTAGCCACGGGCATACAGAGCCTGGTCGCGGGTGAAGTTGTGCGGGGTGTAACAGTAAATAGGTTCCTCTGGGGGTGAGAGGAGACACAGGCTAGGGCATGAGGCGGGACTGACCTGGGAGACCAGGGCTTGAGGTGGCGGCACTGGTGGGGTGTCATCACCCTGCCCAAATGCCTCTCCTGCGCAGTCCCCTCCCACTCAGCTGCCTGCTGTGTGGGGCCTGCATCCCCCAGACCTCAACTCCTGGGCCAGCTTCCCCTCTCTACACCCCACCATGGTGGAGTAGAGATCACCCTGAAGGTCGCTTGAGCAGTCTTGCCTGTTCCGTCCCCAAAGACTTTGCAAGAGGGGAAATGAGTCCCAGAGAAGCACAAGGCAGGTCATACCACATTTTCCATTTCCTCAACTGGACCAAAACCAGGTCTTGGCCACTGCTGTGTGCGGTCAGACACCTAGCACTGGGTAGGGCAGGTGGCAAGGACGCACCTATCTGGTTACAGCAGTCCAAGTGCCAAGCGAAGCCTGCCTGTGAGCCAGGTGCGGTGGTGCACACCTGTAACCCCAGCACTGTGAGAGGCCGAGACAGGAGGATTCCAAGTTCAAGCTCAGCTGGGGCAAACTAGCAAGACCCTGCCTCAAAACAAAAATGGGCTGGGGAAGTAGCTCAGTGGTAAAGTGGCCCTGGCTTTCACCTCCCATACCTCAAAAGAAAAGAAAAAAAGAAAAAAGAAAAGACTGCCTGTGACAGGTGAGAGATGTCTCTTTCCCCAAGATGCCCACCCTGGAGAGGAACACAGGACAATGGTGGGCAGAGTCGGGAAGGCTCATCAACTGGACATGGCCTCTGCCCAGAAAGCGAGCAGAGGGGCCTCCTCAACTGCAGAGACAGCCACCACTCGGGTCTGGGTTGTTCAAGGTCATACTAGGCTGGGCACAGAAGTAAGGGCCTCCCTGTCTGTACTTGTGCCTTGTGAGCTGGGTAGTCTGGCAAGGAAGAGCACCATTCACTGCTGCTGCCACCCGGGGCCAGGGCTGTGAGAGTGGCCAGCCATACATCTGGACAGAGACTTCACTCACTGCCCCTAAATGCTTCCAGCGCCAGTCCCAGCATCCTGGGACCCCAGCTCCTCACTGGGCACAGCACAGGGCCATGGGCTGCCATCGGCCCATCCCGGTACCTCTGACAGTCTAATAGTGCCACACGCAAGGGCTCGGGAAACCTCAGGGATCACCAGGATGCGACCCAGCCAGGTAGACTTCACTGCATCCTACCGGGAAGTCATGGGAGGCTCCGGAGGAGGTATGGATGGGTCAAAGGAGCCTCAGATGGGGCAGGAGCTGGAGAGAGGCTGGGAGAGAGCTGGTTCCTAAGGCCTGAGGTCCTTGAGATGAGCTGGGCTTGGAAAAGGCCAAAGCTCCTGGGTGAGAGGTAGCACTTTATTCACTTAGTTTAGTCCTGACGGCCAGCCCTAAGAACCAGGGGTGGGGACACTCTTCTCCAAGGGTTAGCCTCTCAGGCCTCAAGCTGGCTGTCTACAGCAGGAATGGAGAGGCCCCAAGAGGGACCCCACACCCAGGCTCCAGTGGCTCCTTGGCTCTGCCGTGAGACTGGCCTGTCCCCCCCCAGGCTGGACAGGAGTGGCCCCACATGCTAGGTGTGCTGCCTGCCCCATGGTGTGATGTGAGGCACCTTCCACCACCTCCCTGCCTGCTGGCAGCTAAGTCCCATGTGCCACCCTGACCCTCAGTTTTCTCATCTGCTGAGAGCATTCTGCAGAGCCACTGTGTGGCGAGGAGGAACGCCCCCTTTTGCACGTGGTGCTCCTGATGGCATGGCAGGGACCGAAGGACTGGGCAATGTGCGGGTGAACAGGCTACTGGCCAGTGGTTCTGGGTCTGAAACCGGTGGGACCACAGGGATGTGGGTACTGGATGCCCTGTCACCAAAGCTGCACAGGGTTCCGTCTGGGCAAGTGCAGGTGTCTGACAGAGACGAGGGTCTGGCTGATCCTGCAGCCAGTCTTTCCCTGGGGACAGTGGTGTGTGGGCCCTAGCACTGGGCCTCCAGCCCAGAAGCCTCCTTTCCAGCCTGCCCAGCCGGAGCAAGGCACAAACTCAACAACAGCACCGCAACCAGAGCAGGGTGCCTGATTCTGATCACTGCTGACACTTGCCTATTTGGGATGCTTTCCAGACCTGGACAGTGTCTTTTCCAGCCCTCCCAACAACCCGAGGCACAGCTTCACTTCCTGTGGCCACCTGGCCTCCACCATCCCCGAAGTGAAGCTACTGCCTTCTGCAGCCCTGCCCCCGATTCTTGCCACCTGGGGAGGGAACACTTTCAAGAGTGTCCCTGCCCAGCATGCTTCCTCCAGCTAGCTGGAGCTCGCAGGTTCCTCAGAGTCGCCTCATGGCCACCACTGCCCTCTCAGTCCCCTCACCCTGGGGGAATCCAGACCCCACATCCCTCAGGCTGTGGTCAGCCAAGTAACCACCCTCAGGTGTCCGTGTCCTGCTCTCAGAACCCTAGACTACGTCCCTTATATGATAAAGCTGGGATAAGGTTAAGGACCTTTCAGGGGATGATCCTGGATTATTGGGGGACACTGCGATCACCAGGATCTAGTCCTAGCTACATGCTTGAAGATGGAGCGGCCTCTGGAAGACCAACGCTGCTGACTCCTTGAGACCTATCATGCATTTCTCAATTTTTGACACATTGGGTGTGTGTGTGTCTATGCCCACACATGTGTTTATGCTACACTGGGGACTGAACCTAGGGCCTGGAACTCACTAGGCAAGGGCCCAGATCCACCTTGAGCTATACCCCAGCCATGTATGTTGTTTTTAGCCACCTGGTTTGTATCGAGAGGTGCAGGGCCCTGATACTAGTGAGCTGCCTGCCTCCTATGGAGGGGACCCTCAGTACCCTCCAGAGTATAGGGGGACCCTGTTGGGTGGGAACCCCACTGGAAAAGGGCTGACCCTCAGGGGCCACAGAAGAGGGTAGATCCATGCCTCAAAGGCCTACATGGGAGACCCAGGAGGCACCAGCCACTGGCACAGAGCCTATGGCCCATACAGTATGACGGATGCCTTTCCTCTCCACGTTGGGTTGGGGTATATGCTGGGTGGGAGCCCATGCCTGTGGCTGAAGCGCTCACCTAGACAATATCCAGAAACACCCAAGCACTGGGGACCCAAGTACGCAGCCATGTTAGGGCCACATGATGCCAAGGAATCCAGCGAACCTTGGCCTCTCCACCTGACCCCGAGTCCCACGCTGACCACGGCCAGGGCTGGAGAGGCAGAGGCTGTTTCGCGCCTGCCTGTGCCCATCACTAGTCGGTCTCAGGTCAGAGGTGTGCAGTCTTTCCAGGCCACCGGCTCTGCGGGGCAGGGATTAGTCCCGAGGGAGGGCTCATCCTAAGATCACAGAACCCACTATACAGGGACCCCCATAAGAACATCCAGGCCCTGCGTTTTGGGTAATCTCAGGATAAGGTTGATGAGGGCTGACCACAGACCTCACGGGGCTGCTCCTCACCACAATCCCCTAGGACAATATATGTGTTCCCTCTGTGCAAGCCCCGATAACACGGTACGCAAATCAGGCCACAGATGGAGGACATAGGCCTGGCATCCTGCATCTGCTTATTGGACTTAATAACTGTCTACCTTAGCCAGAAAGGACTTGGCCTGGAGCAAGGGGCGTGGGTGTGCACCCCAGCAGCCTGCCTGATGTTCCGGCTCAGGCACCGGCAGACAGACATCTGCATATGGCCCACGCCTCATGGCAGTCACCTCTTACAACGGGGCAAAGGTCCTCAGGTATGTTTTTGTTAAGAGCAGAGGAGTGGAGGCCGCTCCTAGAAGGCCACAGCTTCCGACCGTGCCCCTTCCGTACCCCCACCCACCCTAGGGGTCCCAAAGGGTTGGCAGGGTCCCTAGAGGTCCACTGTGTACAACTCCCACTTGTAAAGCACACACGACTTAAATATGAAGTAACTCCCAGAGTCCTGTGCTGAGGGCTTCATCTCCAATATTTAAAGGTGGGCCCTATAGAGGTGACCGATCACAAGCACGGTGACCACTGATGAGTTCACAGCTGCCTGGCTGTTAAGAGGCAGGGCCAAGGTAAAAGCAGGTCACTGGGCCTTAAAAGGCCTCCGCTACCCCAGCCCTTCCCGGCCCCTCTGCTTCCTGGCTGCCATGCAGTGAGCAGCTCTCCTCTGCCAGGTCTTCGGCCACATCACAGCCCAAACCAACAGAACCAGCAACTATGGACAGAAACCTCCGATACCATGAGCCAAAATGTATCTTTCCTCTTGTAGGTTGTTTCAGGTATGGTCACAGCCAGGGAAACTTGGCTGCCCCAGTACCCTTTCCCACGCTTCAATTTTCCTTGTGTCTGGGGGCTCCCTCAGCTCCAGCAGTCTGCATGCGTCTAGGGGGCCCTGCATACTTCCAGGCTGTGTGACACTGAGAGCTCTGAAGAGTTCCAGGAAGCCACTGTCCTGTCCTGGACCCGGACTGAAGCCAGTAGAACCACCCAGTGCTTCACAAGACCGGGGGCGGCAGTGGCACAGCAAAGGGAACGTGGCTGCTCACAGCCTGAGACATCTCCCTTAGCCTCTCCGCTTTGCAAATGGTCCAGCTGGCCGGCCACATCCTGTGGCTCTCAACTTTGCCTTGCTCATGCTGCGTAGGCCCCAGGACCGCTCCCATATCCACAGTGGGTTGGACACTGATGGGCGAAGGGCCTGGGTGCAGGCACAGGTGGTGAGCTGGGCTCCACAGTGTCAGCATGTAGGGTATACACAGGGTTCCCAGGGGTAGTGAGGCCCACATGTGCCCACATGTGTCCTGTGTCTGTTGTGAGTGGTGCTCTGTCCTGGAAAGGATAGGTGGAAGTCCTAGCCCTGTGTCTGTGAGGTAGCTTTTCTTCTTCTTTTTTTTTTTAGACAGGCTCAGGCTATGTAGTTCAGGCTGGCTTTGAACTCACTAAGTAACCTAGGCTGGCCTTGAACTTTCAATGATCCTCCTGCTTCAGCCTCCTAAGTGCTGGGATTACAGACACTATACCTGGCTTCTAAGCTGGCTTTTTTTTTTGGGGGGGGGACTGAACTCAGGTCCTTGCACTTGTGAGGCAGGTGGTAGAACCCCTGAGCTAAATTCCCGGCCTTGTAAGCTGGCTTTTTAGAAACAGTGATACAAAAGTCATGGAGTTGGATGAGGTCACAAGGGAGCAGGGCGGGCCCTGACATGACTGTGTCCCTGAAAAGCAGCAACTTGGGCTCTCACAGAGACACATGGAAGATGCCAGGCTGAGGCAGGTGCAGAGCCAAGGGGATGCAGCGACAGTTGCAGGAACACCAGAGACTGCTGGCAGCACACCAGAAGTCTGAGAGGCAGAAGGGGTTCTCCCCAAGGTACCTCAGAAAGACCTAGCCCTGCCTACACCTGGATATTTGGTTTCAGGCTTTCAGAACTATGAAAGATAAATTTGGGTTGCTTTAAGCCCACCTAGCTGGCAGTAGTTATCACAGTGTGATCCAAGGCCCACCCTATGCACACCTACGTATGATTTGTATGCATACACCTGAGCACACTGAGTTCTCACGGTGTCTATCTGTGCACATCTGGGTATGACCCAAGGCCCCATGATGGCTGTGCACATGTGGTATGACCCAAGCTGCCCTATACCCGTGCATACCTAGGGGTGACCTAGGGCCCACGTGCATGTGTGTGCACGCTACTGGGTCCAAGTGTGAGGAGCCTCCTGTCCCACCTATAGGAGTGTCTAATTCCAAGTCAGAGCCCCTGGACACTAGTGAACTGGGGATGGGAGTAGGAAGCCTGGACCGCCCTCAAATCTGGCATCTCTAGGTCATGGGTCTCCTAAAAAGAGGTATCTGTAGAGGTTTGTGAAGAAACAATTACCTAGGCAAAGTTTGCCCTTTGCTCAGTGGCTGCCGAGGACAGAGCAGCACATGCACCTCTAGGGGTGTACAGGAACCCCACAATTTTCTTGCCAAAACTGGCACCTCTGGACCAGAGGCACAGCCCACAGATACCCAGGCCCCAGTCCTCCTCAGCCCAATCACCCCATTCCCCTGGGGGAGGTGTTTCCTGTCCCCAACTGCCAGCCTCCACCTGCCCACCCCATACTTGGGTATCAAGGTTGCCCCCCACAGACTGGCACAGTGCTCTCTGTCCAGGTCACTTCTGGTTAGGACCCCCTCCCACACCTGTGCACACTTGGGAGTGACCTGAGCCCCCCACCCACACCCATAAGATGTGGACCCAACGCCTGAGTATCTGGTCCTGTTCACTCTGCCCTGGTCCACGGCCTCCTCTACCCGCACAGCGGCCTGATTAGGCCACCACTACCTGCTGCTGCCCTGGTCTCCACCCGCAGGACCCGCTCGCCTGGACCTGTCCACAAACGCTGTTGGCAGCCTGGGGCCTCCACCACACCGTGTAGGGGGCTCAATCTCCTTTCCTGGTCCTCACCTGGCCACTCCTCCAGCCTCTCAGACCCTGCTGTGACATGAAACAGCCCAGATCCCGGCCATTTACATCTGACACCAGCAGGGGCGGACAGGCCCAATCCCTCGGGCTGGAGGCTGAGAAACGGGAGATAAAACAACAATAAAACGGAGGAAGGATCTCAGGCAGCCCCGGCGACACCTCCGAACCAGGATGGGAAGGCGGGGTCGCCGAACCCCACCAGGCCGGGTGGGCGCGGCGCACGGCGGACG